AGAACCTTCAAGGACTGTGACTATCTCAGTAGCTCTTGGGTGAGTGTGAGGAGGATTAATTCCCCATGGTGCATAGTCTACGCGTGCCAGTGAGATACCTAGAGTGTTCAGTCCTGGAATTTGAGCTACATTGGCTGGAGTGACCTTAGAGCCAAAAGTGTTAGATGTGTTTCCAGCTAACTGTAGGCCACTGAAGAAGAAGTCCTCTCCTCCAACAGACTTGGGATCTTTGCAAGATAAGCCATTTACCTTAACTGAAACAATAGGAACATAAAATACAGTGAGCAAACTCATTAATTACTGATCTTCTAGTCCTAATATATTATTCCATGTATTCCAGTTTATGCAACACATTTTTCCTTTCTTCATTTGTTCCAAAAATAATGACACACTTCTAAATTTGGAAACAAAACTTCTCCTGTTACACTTCATGAGAAGTTGTTTTAACTGCACAAATGTTATGACATGTTTCAAATGTTTTTATTTTTTTCTTAAACTCCATGTTGATTCAAACTACATCACATAAATTAGAATAGAGGGAGATTATAAGAGTTAAAAATGAGATACAGATCGCGATTTACTGATTTGCAATACCTGTGCTAGTAGGATCCGCCACACAGAAATCTTGCATTGGACTTGGCTCAAAAGCTAACACAACACAGCAGAAACTTAGTACTGCTATTAGATTCAGCAGGAGAAAGTGCTTAGCCATTTCAAGGACTAAAGAACAGAAGCCAGGAGAACCAAATATTAGAAGAGAAGAAAGATGCTTTCCTTTTTGTGGGATGAAGTGATTGATAAGATAGTCTCCTTATATAGAAGAGAGGAAGTGCTTCAGGCATGTTTGGAGTTTTAGTGAGTAATTTGTGTCTTTTTTTGAAAATATTGTGAAGAGCCGTCCAAGCACACATGAAGACTTTGACAATGAGTAGCTGTTATTTGTAGTGATAAGACAAGAATAAGAAGTTAGCCGGCTTAGGACAAAGGAAATGGTCCAAAAGACTAACTTTTAAGGATAATAAGTGTGATTTTTGAATACCTGGTCAAATGGAGGATTGTTCACAGGACGAAGCTAGAGTTTTATTTACGGGTTCAATAGAACTCATTAACTAGCTTTGGCAAAAAATTACTTCTATAAAATATATTCCTTTCCACTCTATCCCCTTTCACTGGTTATTCACATTTTTCCAGCCAGTAGTGCTGTAGTGTCTATGCCCCGGACACATACAACTACGATACAAACATACCATATGAATCAAGATGTATCCTTTCATATACAAATTGAAACCAAGCTCTTTGAACACCTCAACATGCATTTTTCACAGATTATATTGCGGTTAAGAATTACGGAGAATGCTAAAGTTAAGAGAGTAATAATACAGCATCCTAGATAGTTTATGATTCTAATTCCAGTTTAGGCCTTTTGAGTTACAAAACTACCTATGATATCACAAGTCATAGCAGAAACACCTCAATCTGTTATTTGGCAATAAATCTGGACAAGAATACTATAGAAAAGTTCATGAACACTCCTTATATGACAAATGTTACCTAGTCAAAAAGATTTTGAATCAGTCGCGTTTACTAAATTTTTATGATGTGATTTCAGTACGCAAGTATATGTCATGAAGGCAGTAGGCATTACCTTTTAAATGATTTGGTTGAACTATTTAAACTATGTTGCGATTCTAGTCATGTTGATATATACTTAAATTTTTCACATTAAATATGGTAGAGCTTGTTGCAGAAGGCATCTGATGTCATGAAGACTACACAGGAAAATATGTTATCTTATAACTGAAGTTACTCATCATCGAGCGATAACACCAATCTGGTTATGCTTATTTTTACTCAGCTCATGTCATCTGGAGCAATCTAAAGGCAGTTTAAAATACATTTTACCTAGCCAATTGTGTATATAATTAGTTCAAGTTCTTTTATCAGTTAATAGTTTAGTGTAGTGGTTCTTGATGTCTAATAATTTCTATTAACTGATTTCAAAGAGCTGCGTTAGAGTTCACTGTTTGGATTAGAAACTAACAAATTCGTTTCTTGATATGTGAAAAGTTCAAGTAACTCAACTTACTATAGTTCCTCAAAAGGATCATTACTTGCATTGTCTCTACATTTTCTACTGAATCATCTCATCACAAAATTTTGGTCCATTCACATAGTAACAGCTTTAACTTTCAAGAAATTAACTGAAGAATGAATATATTGAAGTACATACAATATAAAACCTCTAGAATAAACAAATCATCACACAGTAGACAAATAAACGTCTCACTCCATTATCACCACACACGAAAAACAAATGCTGTCACTCAGGTCTGTTTGTAAGTAAACTTGCTGCTTAAAATTTTGATTGTATCTGAGCAACAACAGTGGCATCAACTTGAAAAGCCTTGGCAAGAATATCTGTTGCTATAGTTGGTTCTGATCCGAAAACTGCATTAGCAACGCTTATAACACCAGGATTCTGACTACTCAAAGCAGCAATAGCAACAGCATTTCCATTTCCCACGTTGTGTTGGTAGTGAACAAGTCCAATTGGAAAAACAAACACATCGCCTTTTTTAAGGACCTTAGTAATATGGCGATTTTCAGGATTTGAAGTTACAAAACCAACTTGAAGAAAACCTTCAAGGACTGTGAGTATCTCAGTAGCTCTTGGGTGAGTGTGAGGAGGGTTGATTCCCCATGGTGCATAGTCGACGCGTGCCAGTGAGATGCCAAGAGTGTTCACTCCTGGTATTTGAGCTACATTGGCTGGAGTGACCTTAGAGCCAAAAGTGTTTGATGTGTTTCCAGCTAAATGTAGGCCACTGAAGAAGAAGTCCTCTGCGATAACAGACTTGGGATCTTTGCAAGATAAGCCATTTACCTTAACTGAAACAATAGGAACATAAAATACAGTGAGCAAACTCATTAATTACTGATCTTCTAGTCCTAATATAATATTCCATGAATTCCAGTTTATGTGACACATTTTTCCTTTCTTCATTTGTTCCGAAAATAATGACACACTTCTAAATTTGGAAACAAAACTTCTCCTGTTACACTTCATGAGAAGTTGTTTTAACTGCACAAATGTTATGACATGTTTCAAATGTTTTTATTTTTTTCTTAAACTCCATATTGATTCAAACTATGTCACATAAATTAGAATAGAGGGAGAATATAAGAGTTAAAAATGAGATACAATCGCAATTTACTGATTTGCAATACCTGTGCTAGTAGAATCCGCCACACAGAAATCTTGCATTGGACTTGGCTCAAAAGCTAACACAACACAGCAGAAACTTACTAATGCTATTAGATTCAGCAGGAGAAAATGCTTAGCCATTTCAAGAACTAAAGAACAAAAGCTAGGAGAAGCAAATATTTGAAGAGAAGAAAGATGTTTTTCTTTTTGTGGGATGAAGTGATTGATAAGAAGTCTCCTTATATAGAAGAGAGAAAATGCTTCATGCATACAAAAGTGCTACGAGTTTTAGTGAGTAATTTGTGACTTCTTTGAAAATATTGTGAAGAGCCGTCCAAGCACACATGAAGACTTTGACAATGAGTAGCTGTCATTGGCAGTGATATGACATCATTTGCAGAAAAAAGTTAGCCGGCTTAGGACAAAGGAAATGGTCCAAAAGACTAATATTTTAAGGATAATAAGTGTGATTTTTGAATACCTTGGATGGACAAATGGAGGATTTGTTCACAGGGTGGAGCTAGAGTTTTAACTATCGTTTCAACAGAACTCATTAACTAGATTTGGCAAACAATTACTTATATAAAATTATATTTCTTTTCCAGTCTATCCCCTTTCACTGGTTATTCACATTTTTCCAGCCAGTAGTCCTTTAGTGCCTATGCCCCAGACACATAAAACAACGATACCAACGTACCATATGAATCATGATGTATCCTTTCACAGACAAATTGAAACCAAGTTCTTTGAACATCCCAACATGCATTTATCACAGATTATATTGCAGTAAAGAATTACGGAGAATGCTAAAGTTAAACTGTAATAATACAGTATCCTAGCTAGTTTATGAGTCTAATTCCAGTTTATGCCTTTTGATTTACAAAGCTACCTATGATATCATAAGTCATATCAGGAACACCTCACAATCTGTTATTTGGCACTAAATCTAGGAAAGAATATTATACAAGAGTTCATGAACACTCTTTAAGACAAATGTCACCTTGTCTAAAAGACTTTGAATCAGTTGCGTTTAATAATTTTTTATGATGTGATTTCAGTACGCAAGTCTAAGTCATGAAGACAGTAGGCATTTACCTTTAAAATCATTTTATTGAACTATTTAACGATGTTGCAATTCAAGTCATATTGATGTATACTTAAGTTTTTCACATTAATTATGGTACAGTTTGTTGCAGAAGGCATCTGGTGGCATGAAGACTACACACGAAAAGATGTTATTTTATAACAGAAGTTACTCATCATCGAGTGATAACATCAATCTGGTTATGCTTTTTTTTTCTCAGCTCATGTCATCTGGAGCAAGCTACAGGCAATTTTAAATAGATTTTACCTAGCCATTCGTGTATATAATTGGTATGAGTTCTTTTATCAGTTAAGAGTTTAGTGTAGTAGTTCTTGATGTCTAATAATTTCTATTAACTGATTCCAAAGAGCTGCGTTAGAGTTTACTATTAGGATTAGAAACTAACAAATTCGTTTCTTGATATGTGAAAAGTTCGAGTAACTCAAACTTACTATAGTTCCTCAAAAGGATCATTACTTGCATTGTATCTACTTTTTTTAGTGAATCATCTCATCAGAAAATTTTGGTCCATTCACACAGTAACAGCTTTAACTTTCAAGAAATTAACTGAAGAATGAATATATTGAAGGACATACAATATAAAACCTCTAGAATAAACAAATCATCACACAGTAAACAAATAAACGTCTCACTCCATTATCACCACACACGAAAAACAAATGCTGTCAACTGAACTCAGGTCTGTTTGTAAGTAGTCTTGCTGCTTAAATTTTTGATTGTATCTGAGCAACAACAGTGGCATCAACTTGAAAAGCTTTGGCAAGAATATCTGCTGCTATAGCTGGTTCAGATCCGAAAACTGCATTAGCAATGCTTATAACACCAGGATTCTGACTACTCAAAGCAGCAATAGCAACAGCATTTCCTTTTCCCACGTTGCGTTGGTAGTGAACAAGTCCAATTGGGAAAACAAACACATCGCCTTTTTTAAGGACCTTAGTAATATGGCGATTTTCAGGATTTGAAGTTACAAAACCAACTTGAAGAAAACCTTCAAGGACTGTGACTATCTCAGTAGCTCTTGGGTGAGTGTGAGGAGGATTAATTCCCCATGGTGCATAGTCGACGCGTGCCAGTGAGATACCTAGAGTGTTCAGTCCTGGAATTTGAGCTACATTGGCAGGAGTGACCTTAGAGCCAAAAGTGTTTGATGTGTTTCCAGCCAAATGTAGGCCACTGAAGAAAAAGTCCTCTGCTCCAACAGACTTGGGATCTTTGCAAGCTAAGCCATTCACCTTAGCTGAAAAAATACAGTAAGAAAATTCATCAAATCATTAATCTCCTAGTCTTAAGATAATACTCCCTTAGCTTCGTTCTAGTTTATATAGCACACTTTCCTTTTTAGTCCTTCAAACAAGAATGCAACTTCTAAATTTGGAAACAAATAGCTTTACACTTCTCAATTTACCCTAAATGAGAAAGTGCTATCAGTTATCACCACACAAATGTTATGACATGTATAAGTCCACAAGTTTCAAAAATACTTATTTATTTCTTAAACATGCTGATTCAAACTATGTCACATAAATTAGAGCGGAGTGAGTATATAAGAGGAAAATGAAATTCTTATCGCGCTTTACTGGTTTGCAATACCTGTGCTAGCAGAATCAGCCACACAGAAATCTTGCAATGGACTTGGCTCAAAAGCTAACACAACACAGCAGAAACTTAGTACTGCTAATAGATTCAGCAGGAGAAAGTGCTTTGCCATTTCAAGAACTAAAGAACAGAAGCTAGGAGAACCAACTACTGGAAGAGAAGAAAGATGTTTTTTTCTCTGGGATGAAGTGATTGAAAAGATTGTCTCCTTATATAGAAGAGAGAAAAGGCTTCATGCATGCAAAAGTGCTTTGAGTTTTGGTGAGTAATTTTTCTTTTTTGAAAATATTCTAAAGGGCCGTCCAAGCACACATGAAGACTTTGATAATGAGTAGCTGTCATTTGCAGAAAGAAGTTGGCCGGCTTAGGACAAAAGGAAATGGTCCAAAAGACTTATTTTTAAGGATAGCAGTGTTATTCTTGAATACTTCGTATGGACAAATGGAGGATTTGTTCACCGCGGAGCTAGAGTTTTAATTACGGGTTCAACAAAACTCAGTGACTAGTTTGGGGGTCAAAACTCTGTATCAGCACTTAAACATTTGATATGGAAGCCATCGAGACACATATTATATGTTCACAGGATTTGACAGAAATAATTTCGAAAAATAACCTAGTGCAAAAATCACATTTTCATTGAGCAAATCTAACTTGAGAATATTTCACATAGATGAAACCTACATAGTGGTTTAGCAAGGGGAAAACCGAAAATGAAAGAACAGAGGTGCATCAGAAGTATCACTGGAAAACATAAATATTCCATCAAACTACAAAAGATGCAAACAAAATTTCAGGACTAATCACTAGACGATCCATCATCATCTTCATGCTGTGCCACAACTTTCTCGAGAAACCTTTTCCTTACTCCATCCAGCACAGCTTCTCGGGACTGTTCCTTCTTACTACGCCCATCGTTTAGAACAGGATCTGACTGGCAGAGTGTCAATGCAACACCTGAAGTAAAGGAATGCAGATCTATGAGAGCGGGCCAGCAGAGAGTAGAGAACATATAACAAAAGTACTTAGCACCAGCTCATATATTGTAGAAAAAATGCGAAGGAACTTAAATAAGTCACATGTAAATTGAAAAACAGAAGAACATGCCAAGTCTGCACTAGCTGGATCATGAAAGAGAGATGGATAGCCTTTCGTTTTACGATAAAACAGTTGACTAATTACCTTTTCATTCTTGAATTCTAGTAGAAGCATTATAATAGTGAACAGAATGGTGTACCTTAGATGAGTGAAGCTGAAATTAAGATGAACCATCATACAAGATTACACAAGATAAAAAAAATGATTGCATACAAGAGAAGGTGCAAGTATCACACATCTAGGATGATAAAACGTCACTTGAGATAGGTTGATCAGGTCATACACAGATCGTCAAATGCATCGGTCAGTACCGATTGAAGGTATTAAAAGAGGCCGAGATAGACTAAAAATACAAGGAATGAAGGTGTCTCAAAAAACCTATTATGTCTAGCATCCGTGCAGAATTGTGCGAAAGTTAAGTTAATGGAAGCAAAAGATCCACATATGCCCTACTGACTAGTTGGAATTCAGGCTTAGTCATGATCATATGCTTATATTAGGCCCAGTGTTGCTAGAAATCTTTTTAACCGGTTTAGATATTTGTATGTCAGTAGAAATTGTAGAGAGCTTCTGGTGTTAAAGACCACAAATTAATGAATACAGAAATAAAGTAAGTTCAAATAGCGTGAAATGGATAGTGAGAATTCATGTGTAGACTAGCTTGGGATAGAGGTGTAGATGCTGTTGTCATGAATTCTAGTAGAAAGGAAACTGCTTCTTTTCACCCCCACCCCACAATTAACACAATCCAAGATAAAAGATGGTTAGCGTGGTTATTTTCTACAATCATGAGAAACACGCTGATAGCTACCACACTCTTGAAGTAATTTCAGAAGGTATGAGCTAATTTCAGTAGTAGCACCACCTATGCACTCTTGGTGCCACTGGACCAACTCTGACAAAACAAGGAATAGAGACCTAATTCCATGTAGAATAAACAAAAGGCCATGCTCGAGTTTTACAGCAAGTATACAAGATCTTAAAAGGAATTCCCAGAAAAGAAGAATTTGCTTCTACATACAAGTCATCTATTGTGGCTTACTACCATATAACATCTGCATAAACAGCCTACACAAAATCTTCATACAGGAAATAGATGGAAACGGGCACAACACTGTAAGTGAATTCACCAAATTTCTACATCTCGAAACAGTAGTAAAAGGAAGTCGAGGCAGAAAGTCAACAATTTCACTAAATCATGCAAAAAAAGAAAAAGAAAGAGAAGGATTAGGGTAGCAATGGGATAACAGCTATCAAGAAGAGGATCATACCTTCGGGTGTACATCTCCGACCAAAACTATGAAGTCCAACATAATTTGACTTTAGTGCACCATTGTGGTACACCAAAACAGTTGGAAGATTACAATCTGGATAGTTCGGAATGCAATCGGTAGAGATAATTTTGACAAATTTTGTTACAGGGTATTTTGTTGCTAGTTCGTCTAAGCACTGCAAAAGTATCTGGCAGCCTGAGTAACTATAAAGAACATAAAGTGCTATCAGAATTACTGACATAGAGCTACAAGAGAGAAAAGAATAATGAAGAGATGAAAAATATTTGAAGCTCAAGACCATTGATGAAAGATTGCTTCACTGATGAAGAGATGAAAACATAAATTACCCATCCTTATACAGAAGCACAACCACCCAGATGTCTTCTGGAGCTTGGGAAACCTCCCGCACAAAATCTGATCCAGAAATTGGTATCACTGATCCAAATCTCACAACCTTAGCAACTTCTCTCATCTCGGCCATCCTCTTCTTCCTTCAACAACAACACAAGAAAGATATATAAGAGATGCTCAATTTCATGTCAACTTGCAAGCTACATTACAATATTTCATCACCAAGGCAAACTTAAGTACTATGTCAGCATAATTGGTTGTCCTTTTTCCTTATGATGCAACTACTGATTTAGGAAAAAAAAATTGTTCACTATCTTCCATTATTTACTTATTTGGAAAAGCATTAATTGCAGGCACACGTTTGCATTCTGTAGCTGATAACAAAGTAAAATTGAATTTGACCACGTGGAAAACGAGGCAGCAATATATGACTCCCAAAAAAAAAATTTATACCATAGGGTAGGAATGACGCCTTATATTGTCAAGTAGTTCATGGGCAACTCTCAGTTAATTAATTTTACAACACTCATTTTAGTCCAATGTTTTTAGTATATTATTAGGAAGAGAAAAGATCATATACTGCCCCCCAATCCCCCAGTTATGAAGCTACATGTGAAGCCTTTTCACTGATAACAAGAAAAGAGTATGGAAAATGATTCATCAAAATTGCTACATTTTTTGTAGAAGCAAGGAAGATGGTGATTCAATTGGTATTCCACTTTGATTGTACATCAAATCATGCAACTATAGGCCTATTCTGTTGGATCTTATTTGTTCCACTGGGCTGAAATAGCTCATTTTCCTTTTCCCTTGGCGGTATGGCTTGAGCTATGCCTTCTATATTCTTGCCAAGTTGCTATTACATTGATAGAAACAAGACATCTAGATGACAACTCAGAAATACTTATGTGGTGATTTTTTAAGGTGTGTTCCAAATGGAAGATATATCATTCTAAAGGTACAAATTTTAAACTATTTGTGTATAACCTCATACTGGTGGAGCACAAATCAATATCGTATTCCCAATTTTAAATCCCGCCAGCTTGCTCTCTCATTCCTACCACCTTTGCCTGTGCCTAGGATTCCATTTGGTTCGGATCCTGTTCTTGATCCAATATGGAGACAAGGTATGTCCGTGATATCCTTCATGAACTCGTTTAGGAATAACCAATTCATGGGGTGATTGGAGGGAGTATCACATGGGGGACTGTAACAAATCACAACGAGATATTTTTGCATGTCCTAGAAAATTTTATGTAGGTGCGAATTCTGTAACTTATAGTGAGTTAAGGCAGCAATCTATGATAACATCGGCTTTTCCATTATGAATGGCGCAGTTACCTCATTCATATACAACCACAATTTTTGTAGTTAGTTTTATGATATAAAAGAGCACATCATAGACTAGGTAACAGCTGATTTTTTGATTGACACTGAAGTTTCTGACACTTGAGGGGATCTACAATATCATGGAAAGAACAATTTGAATACTAAAAACTTAATAAAAGAAGAATCTTTACTAGATTCTCTCTCTCAAACAAGTGTCTACTAAAAACACAAAAAAAATAGCTAATTCCATCAAATACACCTCAATTCAGCTGACAGGAATCCAGTGGAATTAGTCGAGGTGCACGAAAACTAGCCCAGACACCACGGTTTATTAAAAAAAAATGAATTGTCTAAAATCCAATCCGCTGCAAACCCATTTCAATTAAGGTCCAAATCATCTATACTCTTTACCCGTTTCAATCAAACACCAAATACTCCATCTTTTTCTAAGTAAAAAAGCAAATCAAAGCAAAATACCTGTATTCCTGAAGGAAGCGATCGTCATTGAGATCTGGGTCATCTTCAAGATCATCAAGCTCATCTTGAGTTTTCTCATCGATCCAATCTTTGTCTTTGGACTTTGAACCTTCATCCTCACCAGGTGTAAACGGGTCGGGCTTAAAAACAGGGGCTTTTGGAGGGAGATTTCCAAGCTTCCTCTGTATATCATCCCATTGTGTTGATGCTCCTTCAACATCTTTGTACACAAAATGATAATCCCCCATTTTGATTCGATTGATTCTCTTTCTCTCTACCGGAAATTGAAGCTCAAAGATTTGCTGATTTACAGAGTTTCTGGTAACCCTTCTACAATTCTTGACCCGGAAACCCGGTTCTGGAGATTTCGTTTCGTTTTTTTTGCCGGAGAAGTACCTGTATAATTCTAGAAATTACTTTGGTAGTACTCCTAGTTTATACTATTACAACATTGAAGTCATAATTTAATATTTCCCAACTTATAATTTTTTTTTTATTTATACTGAGCGGTGTATAAAAGTTAAACTCGATAGGTATAGATAATGCTCAATCACAATAAAATTCTCTATCATTAATCCTTAATCCTATGATCATTCCTATAACAA